CATCCCAAAACTTAAGTTTGAAAAAGACACCATATGTGATGCATGTCAAAAGGGGAAGCAAGTTCGGGCTTCGTTTAAGTCTAAAAACGTTGTTTCAACGTCTAGACCGCTTCAACTTTTGCACATGGATCTCTTTGGTCCCTCTAGAACGAAAAGTTTTGGTGGCAATTACTTTGCATTTGTGATTGTCGATGACTACACTAGGTTTACATGGACCTTGTTTCTAACTCATAAAAGTGAGGCATTTCATGTTTTCAAAAATTTCTTAAAGAAAGTTCAAAATGAAAAAGAGACAACCATAGTAGCCATAAGAAGTGACCATGGGGGAGAGTTCGAACGAAATCTGTTTTCAGATTTGTGTGACGAACTTGGCATTGATCATAACTTCTCACCCCCACGTACACCACAACAAAATGGAGTGGTGGAACGTAAAAATAGATGTCTCGAAGAAATGGCTAGAACTATGATCAATGAGGCAAAAATACCTAAGTATTTTTGGGCGGATGCAGTGAGTACCGCGAGCTACGTGTTAAACCGAGCCTGCCAAAATTCAAAAAAAAAAACCGTTGGGCAATGGATTAAATGCCCAACAGTCATATTTTTTGAATTCTTCTCGGTTTTTTCCACTCCTTCCCTATATATATTCACCATATTTGGTCATTCATCCTCACAATTCTCCTCCATATTTCATAGTTCATCTTTTATTCTTCACAATTCTTCAAATTCTTGCTTCAATCATGGCCGGAGGAATGAAGACAAAAGCTTCGAAGAAGAAGGCTGCCGCCGAGGCTACGAGCTCTGCGCCTCAACCCTTTCCATACCTGGACGGATCCTTCTTGGAGTTTGGGTCAGAGGAGGAACTCAACCGGTTCCTCACGCACTTTGCCAAGCGTCCCATTTCTCCGCCTAGGGTGCTGCCCGAGTTGTACCCTCAACAAAAGGGGTACCACGACCTCGACAACCAGCTTCAAGCATCGGGTCTGTGGTCGTTCGTCTCCGGGAGCCGCTCGAGCTTTAATCCTGCCTTTGTGCGAGCCTTCTACTCCAATCTCCGCCGGGACGGGGACACCATTCGCAGTAGCATCAATCTCTACGACATAGAGATTGATCTGGCTACCTTCGCTCGGGTCGCAGGGCTGCCCACCCGCGGTGACGACATAACAACATATGGCGGCGATGATTGGATCCTCAACAACGAGGCGGTGGTCATCCGAG